CTATTGTGCTTTGATTTGCAGGATAATGAACTTAAAGTGATCGAGTGCAATCTCCGTGTGTCCCGCACATTCCCATTTGTGTCCAAGACTCTTGATCACGACTTTATTGCTATGGCAACACGGGTCATCTGTGGCGTGCCCGTGGAGCCAGCTCTGGATTGCACGGGATTTGGACGAGTTGGTGTGAAGGTAAATTTATTTTTTCCTTTAACCAACTTCAGGACAGCATAGTCTTTTTAGATGGTGAAATGTTTCTATAAAACATGGATGTTTGTGGGCTATCTGTGTAGACAAGCCAGTACTATATTTGTAATTTTTTTGTTTGTTCCTTCAAGGTCCCACAGTTTTCATTTTCGCGTTTGGCCGGGGCTGATGCCATGTTGGGTGTGGAGATGTCCAGTACAGGAGAAGTGGCTTGTTTTGGTGAGAATCGATATGAGGCCTATCTCAAGGGAATTCTTAGCACTGGATTTAAGATTCCTAAAGAGTGCATCCTGCTGTCGATTGGAAGCTTTAAGGTACGCAGAGAATGTTTCATCTTTAAGGTGTATTTTCTAAAATTTCATTGTAACTAAGCAATCGCCAGTGATCATACGTTACTTGCAAGAAATTTTGGATGAATTTAATTTCAGACACAAAACGTGTCCGAAAATAACACCGTCCGAGAGTTTTAAGCGTTTGAAATTTTTAGCCTGCGAACAGGCTCCCGGCAAGCCCGAACCGATCGCTTCACTCTCCAAGTTCTTCAGTTTCGCGCTCGCCAAATTTTTTTTTTCCGTCCTCGCCTGGAGCCTGTTCGTAGGCAAGAAATTTGAAGTGTCCCAAATATTTATTTAATTTAATTATTTATATTTAAAATTTTTAAGTAGCTCCCAAACTCGTAGTTTACTTTATGAAGTGAACTCTACCTGGGACAGTGCTAGAGATATATAACGGCTTGATAGAATTTGTGTTGTTTTCTCGACGGTGTATGGGTGCAGTAAAACTATCAATTTTGCAGATGTTGTTTCAGTCTAATTCGTGTTTTGTTGGCGCAAATTTACTTAAGCTATTTCAACAAAGTGTCTGAAATTTTTGTCCCAAACTTGTCCGAAATGAGATGAAAAGTGTCCGAAAATTAAACGTTCGAAATTTTAATCTAATTGTGTAAGTGATTGAAATCTACTGACACACGTGTTTGTATGTTGTTGTTTGTTGTTGATTATCTAGTCCAAGAATGAGATGCTGCCCAGTGTGAGGACAATGCATGAGTTAGGATTCAAGTTATACGCTAGTCCTGGGACAGCTGATTTCTACACGGAGCATGGAATCACGGTCAGTTGCAACTTAAAAGCACCAATTTTCTTTACTAATAACCACACGTGTCATATAAGTTACAAGAATTCACTGTGACGATCAGTTTAAAATTTGATTGAAGATTCTTTGATCTTGCCTATTTTAGAATAAGACGTAATGAAAGTATAAGATTTGGTTGAGATATGTAGGGTGTGCTTTATTTTAAAATCTGGCGTTCAATCAGACTTGTTCAATATTTCATACAAAGAACTGACCTCGTTTTTGCCTGTGAACCACACGTGTACCTAGTCACAAGATAGGTGCTGATTGGTTAACAAGCCATGACAGTTTGCCACGATAGTGTAGCCACTAGAGTAACGCCACAAGTGCCTGCTTGATGGGGCTCTCGTTTCTAAGTAAGGCTTACTTTTTTGAAGTTGACAAGTTCTGAGTAATGTCTTGTTAATAATTTTCCTTTTCCCGCACAGGTTAAACCAGTGGATTGGCCGTTTGAGGAAGGTGGTAACGGAGCCACGGAGCAGAGTATCCTGGACTACCTTGCACAGAACAAGTTTGATTTGGTGATCAATCTTCCTTTAAGGAACACAGGGTCGAGACGGGCGTCTTCATTCATAACACATGGGTACCGCACGCGCAGAATGGCTATAGATTATTCCATCCCTCTCATTACCGACATCAAGTGTGCTAAGTTATTAATTGAGGTAATCATGAATAAAATAGTTTAGATCCCTACGACAGTTGATGATTAAAGTAACTATTGAAACGTTTAGTACACGTATGCAAACCTCAACTCGAAAATAATGCCTGTTGTGTAAAATAAGTGAATACAGGACCAGAGCAGTTTTCTTTTAAGAGTGAATTGGAATAAAAAGATGTTAAACTTTCTTCCAGAAGTGGACAAAATTACTAAACCCTATAACCAACGTTCTTTAAATAAGTCAGGAACTTGGAATTTAATCAGTTGTAATAACAGTGTATCTCTTAACATGCCTGTAACCCTTTCTGTAGAGCTTATAAAATGTAGCCATAACAACGACCTTTTTGTTTCATGATGTTTTCAGGCCCTGAAGAGAATTGGTGGAGCCCCCAAAGTCAAGACACACATTGACTGCATGTCATCCGGGCGAGTGGTTCGTCTGCCTGGTATGATTGACGCGCATGTGCACATGCGTGAGCCTGGTGCCACCCACAAGGAAGATTTCTCATCCGGGACAGCGGCTGCTCTCGCTGGTGGCGTGACAATGGTGTTGGTCATGCCAAACACTAACCCTGCCATTGTCGATGAATCAGCATTCAATCTGGTTAGAAAGGTAAGGCAAGAGGCGTGATACAAGCGTTACACTTGTGCTAGCTATACGAAACTCTTACCCTGCTATTGTCAATGAATCCGCATTTAATCTTGTTAGAAAGGTAAGGCTAGTAGCGTGACGCAAGCGTAATGCTTGTGTTAGCTTTACGTCATTTTATCTGGTTAGAACGATAAGGCAAGTGGCGTGACACAAGCATAACACTTGTGTTAGCTGTACCAAACATTTAATCGGTCATTTTCATCTGGTTAAAAAGGTAACGCTAGTAGCGTGACGCAAGCATTACACTTGTGTCAGCTTTACCAAACAATAAACCTGCTTTAGTCAGTATATCATCGTTTAACCTAATCAGGAAAGTAAGATAAGGGATTTCACACCGTGACGGTCTGCCCTTTTATTTTTCAGTTGGCGTCAGCTGGTGCGCGCTGTGATTATGGCCTGTACCTGGGCGCCAGTGCTGATAATTATTCAACAGTCAAAGATTTAGCTCACCTGTCTGCTGGTCTCAAAATGTATCTTAATGAGACTTTTACAACGCTTAGACTTGATGATATGTCAACTTGGATGAAGGTGAGTGTCCTAACTCTATTAAGACTATTAAGAAAGTCAATTCCTGATAAAAAGATATGATGCAATCCAACACCGAAATACTTAATAAGTTTCTGTTTTGTTTATCATATGTGTTTGTTTGTGTACCGTGTTGTCAATTGCTAAAGTAGTAACAAATGCTCTGACACTATGAATTTTGCTTGCAGTTTTTTAAATCACACATGGCTCAATCTCGTGACTTTTACCGTTTCGAGTTTAGATGACCTTGAATCACGGTTTCACGCTTTTGTTTTTAGCATCTTGAACAGTGGCCAAAACACATCCCTCTAGTGTGCCACGCTGAAGGAAGAACCACTGCTGCCATCTTACTGTTAGCGGAGCTGGCTGAAAGACCTGTTCACATTGCTCATGTGGCACGAAAAGAAGAGGTAAACATTGTACTTAAATAATCAGGTGATTACTACAAAAAACGTTATCCATGTCTGTCTGTCTGTCTGTCTGTCTGTCTGTCTGTCTGTCACCCAGCCTGCCTGCCTGCCTGCCTGCCTTCTCGCCTGAAAGCCTGGAAGCTTGTTCTTTCATGCCCAGCTATCTACCTGCCTCCCTGCTTTCTTATTTTCCTGCTGTCGCTCTGCATGTGGACATTCGCATTCGCCTATTGGTAGATTGCTCTCCCCCAAAAAGCCCAGATTGAAAGTTTACTGAAGGTTTCTTCAATGAAACTTGTTCATTGTCATAATTTGTGCACTGGTCTCCAAATGCAGTCAGTGTTTTACTTTTAAACTGATCTTATGTTGTAAACAAAGTGCTGCTAAACGCGTTCTATTCGTTCCCCGTCTATAATTCTGCTAATTCTTGGTAAAGGTACATGTATTTGTTGAATAGATTCTTGTGATTCGTGCTGCTAAAGAGAAAGGAATCCAGGTCACGTGTGAAGTATCACCGCACCATTTGTTTTTGACGGAGGATGACGCGGACAGGATTGGCGGCAAGAGGTATGGGGTCAAGCCACCGCTTGTCACGGCTGAGGACCAGAAGGCACTCTGGGACAATCTTGACGTCATTGACTGCTTTGCTACTGATCATGGTAAGTACCAATGATGAAACATCGTGTTTGATCGTCTTGTCGTGTGACGATGTTTGTGTTCCAAATCTGAGCAACCAAATAACTTGTTTTTGCGGATTTCTAAAGATGTTTTCCTTTTTTGCGACCGTAATTAAGGCAAAGGGGTGTTATCTAGTTATTCTTTTTGAGGATATCAAATAACAAACATACCATTAAAGCGTCATTAAGCCGCCCTCTTGAAAGTTATTAGACTCAAATTAACGTCAAGTTATTCTCCTAGACATGGTTTGTAAGCGTGAACTGAGTTCTTTTTAAAAGAAATGAGCCCATCCCTGGCAGTGGGAGCCTTTGGGTAACACCATAGTAGGAGGGACGTCAAGTGGCAAAAATAGATTGATCACACACAAGATAGTTTCCAAGCCACGTCGTACGCAACACGCTTGGGCTGTGCGTATCATTGTGTTATGACAGATTGTCGTTTTGTTGTTCTGTAGCACCACACACACTGGAAGAGAAAGATTCTGAGAAACCACCGCCTGGATTTCCTGGCCTGGAGACCATGCTTCCTCTTTTGTTGACTGCAGTTCACCAGGGGCGATTGACGATTGATGTAAGAAACAAACCATGTTTATTTCCCAGCTTGTGAAGGCAGCCACCCATGGGTACCTGTGTAACTAGCAAACAGCTCTATACTGATTTAGTAACTGGGTTATAAGTAAACTGTTATGCAAGCACTTTCTGTAGATACTATTAACGAGCAAACATGCTCTTGATTAAAGCGACCAGAATGAGTGAATACTTTACAAAAGACTAGGGCGACACATTATTTGCCCGTCTTTCGCTTTACCCAGGCCCTAGGAGCTCGCTCGTTCGTACAAATTACATGCTTACTATTTCTCGAACAATGTTTTTTTTTTTTATTAAAGTGGACTGTTTCGGTGTTAAGTCAGTAAAAACAACAGATGTATTGGACATTGTTTGTCAGTATCAATGAACTTTCTAGCATGTAATTTTAAAGAATGGCGTAATGGTACAAGTTAATGCATATTGCGTGTTTTGCTTTCAGGATATCATCCTTCGCTTGTGCACAAATCCACGACAAATCTTCAGTCTTCCCGAGCAGAAGGACACGTACGTGGAAGTGGAAATTGGTGAAGAATGGAGTATTCCGTCAGCCATGACTTACTCCAAAGCTCAGTGGACACCGTTTGCTGGGATGAAAGTCAACGGCTGCGTCAGAAGAGTTGTACTGAGGGGCGAGACAGCTGTCATAGACGGCAAGGTATGTCCAGTTATAACTTCACTTGGGTTCATTTTTGTATTGACAACCAGGTCAGATAGAAATTTCAAGTGAATAAACTAAAGCTGGTTATTATTACTTGTTTAGGCTATAACAGACGGATGTATAAAGACAGATAAAAAATAAATAATTTTTGGTCGTTGTGATTCATGTTCTCGTGTAACCCTGAATTTGGTCATCTCATGTTGTTTGCGGAGCACACGACTTAAAAATATGCTAAGATGTATAACGCACATGTTCTTGTTGGGTTTGTCGATTTGCTCATGACCCTCTGTTCGTAATTCATTTTATAATCGTTGTAGGTGTTGGCAGCACCTGGATCAGGACAGGATGTACGGGTGATGAGCTCAGTGGCTCCTCCGCCACCTATCTACCAGCCTCAGCCCCTTGTTCCACCAGGCAGCCCGAGGAAGACAGACAGTCGCTGGGCCTTTCCACCCTCTGTCCATCGGTTTGTTGATACGCATCTCGGAGCTGAACCTCTGGCCTTGCCTTTAGGAGGTACTGTTTTGACAACACGTGTGTGATCATGCTGACGTACAACTTCCAAAATAGTAACCTTGTAGAATTGTGTGCGACAGTGGATGGGCTTCGCGCCAAAACTGACGCTGCCAACTGTTTAAGAGCAGTCTCGCGGGCACACAATGGTCAAACGTACGGCGCGCGTTTTCATTCCTCGTCAAAACCGCATTTACTGAATGTAAATCTTGCTGGCAAATTCATAAAATTTGCTACTTATCACAAAGAATATGGACAGAGAATTGACAATTGTTATATCCAGCAGTTTTGTCGCCACGCATTTTAGTTTGCTCCTGTATTGCAGTGTCGGATTTCGAAGTTAGAGGTCACACTTACTTTTCTGACTCGATAGCTCTGGACAGATTTGCAGAAGATTTCATTCATTTACTGTTATTACTGCTTTTCTTTTCAGAGGGGACTCCAGAGTCTGTACCACACTCTCTTCTTACCCCTCCCCTGGCAGTGTCACCTGGTGCGCATCCTCATATTCCACTGACACTCCCCCGGGTGCCAGCCCATGTCTTTTTGGGTCAACACATTCTGAGCGCCAGCAAATTCAACAGAGAACAGGTATATTAATTATTATTAATGATGCAGTTTTAGAGGTTTCATTGGCTTAGCCATCGCGGTATATGAGCAATTATACCGTGTTCTATAAATATGGTAAGCGCACGCGTTATTTTTTGGGGGGGCGTTTTTCTTTTTATTTTGTTTTCGTTTTCCATACTTTGGGACGTTTTTAATAAAACAGTTATTATGAAATGATCATAGCCATGTATCTATGATCTCATATCGAAAGCGCGCTGGTGGAATAATTGTTAATTAGCTGGTCCTAGCTCTTGGTTGATAAGATATCTTTGTAATGTTATTATCCTGTCTTTACTCAGCTTCATTACTTATTCAACGTGGCTCATTACATGCGACTAATCGTACAAAGAGAGAGTGGACTGGATCTTCTTAAGGTAATGACTTCTCTGCTGATTGGTTAAAACTTGCCACGTGACGTGACATTGTGAACTTGTGGACAACGGTCTACCGTGAGTAAAGAGTGAATGCTAAAAATGAAAACCATGAAGCGTTATCTTTTTGTTTTGTTTTGTTTTTTCGGTCACGGAGCTATCGCCTTCTCGGCCGTATCCTCACCTGGCACATTTTCATCTAAAAACTTATCACCGTTATTAAACTGAATTTGGCTTTGCGTCCACACGTGAACGTTGATACTGTTGAAAACCTGATTTTCGTTTTTGGGTGGAACGCGTTTTCCCTCCACTAGGCCTGATCCAGTAGGCCTGATCTTTTACTGTGCTCTCGGCTTCGGTCCCCGTCCGCCTTCGTAGACTTAGCAGTTACGCTATCAGATAAAACGTTATGCGACCAAAAATTGTGGCTACATGTAGGACACGAGATTGTTTGATTGATTGATTGATTGATTGCTTGATTACAGGGTAGGGTAATGGCATCGTTATTCTATGAAGTCAGCACCCGAACATCATCTTCGTTTGGTGCGGCGATGCAAAGACTCGGCGGGTCTGTGATCTTCATGAAGGAACACGATTCCTCAGCCAAGAAAGGAGAAAGCTTAGCAGGTAACGCATTACATTCAAAGGAAAAAAGTCGACTAGCTTGTACTTTAGAATTTTACGGACGGTTTGTTTTACCCGATCCTTGTGGGAGACTGAAGGTGGAGAATATTTTTGTTTGAGAAACAGACTTCTCGATAAATTAAATGTATGTCTCCCTCTCTCGAAGTAATAAGGCTCTCTTCAGATGCAGAGCGATATCTCATCATGCTTTTTGCAGTAGCTGACCACGGTTGAATGGTAAAGAAACGGCGAAAGTAATGCGCCCGTTTGGCCATGAGGAAAACCATTCTGTTTTAATGGTTATTTATGTGTTTGTTGCAGATTCAGTGCAGGTGATGTCATCTTACTGTGATGTGGTGGTGATTCGACATCCACAGCCTGGAGCAGTTCAGGTAAGCCATCCGTGTCGGTCGGTCGGTCAGTCAGACACAGGCAGGCAGGCAGGCAGTCAGTCAGTCAGTCAGTCGGTCGGTTAGTCCGTCCGTCCGTCCGCCCGTCAGTCAAAAAAGTCAGCTTTAAATCGCATTTTTGTGATCTGATCCAAATCAGCATCAATAGTAAATAACAAATCTCTTTCTGCTCTCATTTACTGGAATTTATATGCAGTTTTTTTCTGGCTATGAGATCATAGTTGAGAGTGGTGCTCATATTCAGGTATTTTCCCAACTACAGGAAGCTGCGGAACACTGCCGCAAGCCAGTTATCAACGCAGGCGATGGAGTTGGAGAACACCCGACCCAGGCCCTTTTGGACGTGTTTACCATCCGTGAGGAGATTGGTACTGTGAACGGTTTGACGGTAAGTACTGATTAGAGACTTGGCTTTTGTTAAGTGTTAGATTTGGCTGTGAAGCGTCTTGTTCTTACCTTGAGGTATCGTTTCTTTTTACCACGTGTAAGTCGCAATATTTTCCTCGTGTTGTAAACGCAGCTTTTTCAGTTTTCGAACAGCGCCTGTACAAAAGTATTTTCAGGGAAGTGAACTCTAAGAGCGGTCCGGGTTCGAGCCCTGGCCGGGGACATTGTGTTGTGTTCTTGGGCAAGACACTTAACTCTCNGGGGGGGGGGGGGGGGGGGGGGGGGGGGGGGGGGGGGGGGGGGGGGGGGGGGGGGAGTAGAAATACTCCTAGTCGTTTCATGCTACAGAAAGCGGGATAAGCTCCGGCCTGATGAGCCACTTGGCTTGTATGCAGACTTTACCTAACACCAAGAAACCTTTCTTTGTCGTTTGTGTTTTGTTTAGGTAACAATGGTGGGAGACTTGAAGAATGGCCGTACTGTTCACTCATTGGCCAAGCTTCTCTGTCTTTATAACGTCACGCTCCGTTACGTTTCACCCGCTGCACTGCGCATGCCTGACTCGGTGCAGGAGTATGTTCAAAGCAAAGGGATCCAGCAGGTATATAAAAAATGCTTTTGCCAGAATAACACGCTCTTCTAATACAAGAACGTGATGACCAATGATTTTTCTTTGTTATAAAGTAGCTGGTTGTCCTTTTCTATCGGCGCGCGTTTGAACTAGTTAAATGCTCTACATCAGTGGACTTTGCTACAAGATACCTTCACTACACATAATTAACTTGAGGCGAAATAGCTAATGAAGGTCAATATTTGTTGTTCTTGTGATTAGTCTTCCAAAGGCTTGTCTTGACTAACCGGTTATTTTTCGATTTATTTTGATTGTTTTGTTCCTTAGAAAGCTATGATGTTGAAGTTTTCTTCAACTTTAAATTATTTTTGCTACAAAATCGTGATATAGCACCTTTGAACAAAAGTGCACTCCATCCTAGCTCTGATTTTTTAAAAGCGTCTTTGACTTAATTTGTCTGAGTGTGTTACTTATGGGATGTTTTACTGAAATTAAACTGGTTCATGGAAGTGTGATGAGAATCAGGGCCTTTGGACCATCTGAGGAGAAATAGTCTTCATCTATTTATGTCAAATTCTGGCACTGATAGAGAATTAAATCAAACTATCTGACGTTCTTGGCTTGTATTGTTTTAACAGAAAGAATATCTTCACCTCATGGATGCCCTTCCTGACACGGACGTTCTTTACGTGACGCGAATTCAACGCGAAAGATTTGAAAGCCAAGAAGAGTACGAAAAGGTAAATACCTTGGTCTTTACAGACTAACAATGTATGTGAAAGCTTCGGACAGCAGTCTCTTGAATTTAGGAAAGGAAAAGCAGTCTGTGAGCCAAAGAACGTGAGAGGAAACAGATTAGTTAATTTTTTCTTCGTGGTTGTCCCTTGTTGAGAGGCTACTGACGCGCTTGTAAGTTCGTAAACCTTCACTAATTATTATAACCGTTTGTTCTTATGATTGTCGATGTTTGAGTTCGTAAACGATCTGTAATCGTTTGTCCTAGTGGTTGTCGAGGTTTGTTTAACAGAGAAGTCAACAAGACTGTCCGTGAATTTGCTTGGCGCAATTCGGAGCATATTTTGACTTCTCAGTTTCTCCAGTAGGTATTCGTCTAGCCTTAACAATTGAGATTCATTGTTGATTGACTGACTGATTGATTGATCGATCGATTGGTTGATTGATTGATTGATTGATTGATTGATTTATTGGCTCACTGACTGACTGATTGATTGACATCAGGTGTTTGGAAGTTACGTCATCACACCTCAGATTCTAACAGAAGCTAAAGAAAAGATGGTGGTTATGCATCCCTTGCCGCGTGTGAATGAAATCAGGTGAGGCCTGTAAATAATGGGGGACTTCAGATTTGATTACGAGTGTAAGATTGAGTACGAGTACGACTTCTTAATTCTAGTTTGCAGGCTCCACTTTATCACATCACATACCCTTCTCGACCCATGAGCTACCCACTCTACCTAAACCAACATAAATAGCGAGGGCTGTGGAAACGTCACGTCAAGTAACTCAAAATTAAGCCATTTATCAACTTAAGGCTGTTAAAATTAATTCGTGTTTCGTTGTTCTTTTTTCTTTCCCTCAGCGTGGAGGTTGATTCTGATCCTCGAGCGGCGTATTTCCGTCAGGCAGAGTACGGAATGTATATAAGAATGGCCCTGCTTGCTCTAGTTTTGGTGAAGAACTGATGGATTTCCAAGCTAACATCTTCACTCGCGTGTCGGTACTGTGTGCTTAAACATGGACTCAACCTCAGTAAAACTGGACTCCTGCCTGTTTAAAATTCAAACGCGTTGACCTGTGATGGTTACAGCACTGATGTCCTTCGTGCGCGCCGTGTATTACTTAAAAAACACATTAAATATATAAAATTCATTTTGATATAATTATGCTATAAGATATATAAACAAAGAAAAGTGCGTTCTGTGTCGATGTTTGTGTCTTCAAGTTCGAGTTAAAAATTTCTCGAGGCGCGCCTTTTGGTGAGGGTGACTTTTATTCACTAACGGTATCGATGAATTTGTCAAAGAAATCGAGAAATATTGCACGAGCGTTTGTGATAGCTGGTTGTTGCGCAAGTCCGGCGCGTGTAGGCAGCGGTGTTTGTAACTCGCTGTTTGTTACTGTTAGCTAGAAGCATGTAACACATGCTTTTGTGTTGCTTACAAGCTGTTTTGTTACAAGATCCCATCGAGGGACATGGTTATACAAACGTATTGTTTTCCGATTAAAATCTGAAAATACGCTCTAAGTCAAGAATTTGTTGTGAACATTTGTGGTAAAAAGAAATTGTATCTCAAATTATAGTGCGCATAACTTACTACATGCACTGGTGAGACTGCTGACGCCAGACGCCAGCAAAAATGCCCTTTTTAGGCCTCGTCCACAGTACGCCGGAGGAATTTTAAAACGGAGGTTTGGCTCTGAAAATGCATCAAATGTGTTCTATCCACACAGCGTCGGAGCAATTTAAAAATGCAACAATCACCGGTCATTTTAGATTGGTGTTTGAAAAAATCTCGAGAAGGGAAATCACATAGTTATCGTGACGCCATCGTTTTAGAAAAGCTCCGTTTTCAGACTGTTTTCCGTCTACACCAAAACGAAAAGCCGGGGTTTTCAAATTCCTCCGGTTTGAAGAGCGCTTTCGAAAAGTTCCGTTTTCGTGACGGATTAGCGTGGACGGTAGTCGTAACTGGTGAGAAATAAAGCTGCGTTTTCAAATCTCTTCGGCGTAGTGCGGAAGGCGCCTTAATACCCATCCATGCTGGGGAGAAGAAACACTCAAACATGCCAAAGAAACAGCAACATTTGTATTCATTCTGTGACTGAACGTAACTTGTAAAATCATTCCAATGTAAAGAACCTCCTTACTAGGACGTGTTTTTGAGGAACAAATCTGAATGTAAAAGTTGAGTGCAGAACATTTCTATTTCGTTGAGAAATTATACTGCTTGGCTGGTTGCCAAGCTCTCGGTAATTGTCTCTTCGGGCTTGTAACCTGCTCTGAGGCCCAAGCGCTTGAAAAATGTCTTCTTGCACCTCGGTTTCTTCTATTAAACGCTTCAATAGCAGGAATTGCGGAAAAATGTCTTTCTTCCCTTTTGGACGGACCAAACTGGTTAAGTGGCTTAGGAACCGAGGAATGCTCTAAACGTGCTTGACCGTTGAGCGGAGATTTCGTACCGGAGGAATACTCGTTAATTCTGTTAGCTAGTCCTCTAATGTCATAAAAATATGGCATTTCGTTCACACTTCGGTAAGTAACCCCAACGATGTTGAAGTTAACTCCTCCGGGCTGTGTTGCGGTGTTTTTCGTTTCATCTCGTTCGTTGTGGTACTGGTTATAGTTCAGCTCGACAGCTGGTCTACTGGACGCCGGATATTCTTTACCAACAAAACGTCCAGTTTTGTTATAGCTGATGTCCTTGTCAGAGCCAAGAGCTCGGGGCATTGTTAGTGAACGTCTCGCTGGTAGGGGCCTTGCGAAAGCGTCGTTCTCTAGTCTGTTTACAGAGTCTTTAGATGGCTGTAAATGCCTCGAACCCTGTTTAAAGTAGCTATCTACTGAATTCCGCGCAGAAATATCTCGGAAGTGTCGTGCAGGCATCTGACTTCTGTGTAAATGATTGTCCTTTTGGTGACTTGGTGTCGGTGTTTTCAAAATTGACTTGTATGGACCGCGGTTTGTTGCTTGTCCTGAACTGACAATTCTGCCTGAATGTGCTTGCGGACTTCGTTGGTCTTTGTTCGCATACAAAGAAGCCTTACTAGAAAACGTTTCTAAACTTGGTCGTCGACTCGGTGTGAGCGTTCCGTTCGCAACAGCGTTTCTGGTCAATATAACACTCCTTCGCAAATCCACATCGCTTTCCTCACCAGCGGGAATATTAATAACCCAAGCTTCATCTTTGAATGATACACGCTTTCGAAGTTTTTGCGGTTCAAACAAACGACGATTTCCTAATTCCAAAACTGATGCCGACCCTTCCATGGCTGTGCTAGAATCCTCCTCGTGCATTTGTTTAAGTCAGAGATTAACAAGCAAGTTACGAATCTGTTGGAAAGAAATGCATTCTTTGGCAGGAATGACAAATATATAGTAGAAATAAAGCTTTTGTGTACTCTACAAAATCCAAAACAAAGTGCTAATTACGCCACGCATCGCCTATGAATGCTAATGTTTGTTTGAACTAATGGAGCGGATCGAACCAATAAAATGATTATATTAATCCTGGAAAACAATTCTGCTGTCGCTCTGTCGGGCGTAACGACATCAAATGACCGCTTGATTAATTTGGTTAATTTGTTTTGACATCGACTTCTCGCTAACAACGTTTTGGGTTTCCAACATTGGATGTTAACAATTCGTAAGCGCAGAGACAAGCGGTACATCCGTTTTCTTTTAACGAATTATACTAACTTGGCAAAAAATCGAAGGACAAGTTTTGGGAAAACAAAAAGCGTCTTACACCCCAAACTACTGCTTTATACTGGTGAATTTTCATTTGCACTACATCAAACGTGCTATGTAAACAAAATAAGAGTAGATCAAAGGTGTTTGATGGGTTTGGCCATGTAACGGGTGGCAAGAAAAGCTAAGCCAAGCCGCCCAATGAGGGGGTTTAGCTTTGGTAGCTGATTGGCTAAGACATCTTTTTGCTGATTGGCTAAAAGCACCTTGCGACAGTTAACAAAACAACTGGAAAAGTTCAAGGGGATTTTTAGGATGGTGGAAGCGAACCAGATAGTCATTAGCTGATAAGAAAAGCAGTTCCAGCCACAATAAGCATCACAAAACCAATTATCAACGGCTTCACCTGCTAATTGACATGTCCATTCTTCCTCCAAAAGGAAGAAATCTTTTGGCAAAAATGACGCTCAGTGGGGGACAGAAAACGACTCGTCCAAACGCCAGCTGAGAAGTCAATAATTCGTCTACGAACTAGTCACTACGAAGGTCTAATTTTAAGGTCTAATAATCATACTTGTGATTAACAAATCGGACTCCCGCCGATTTTGTTAATCACTTGTATATTTACAGACCGAATTGGACTCCATTCAGTCCTATTACCATTAAAAAGTTTCACTTTGTCTTTCTATGTATACTCCCATTGTTTGGTTTCCGTTCACTGCATTTCCTAAATTGCAAAACGGGGGCTGCCACCTATTAGTGGAAACATTTCGATCTAAAAAAGAAAAAAAAATTCAAGGAACTCTTTCGACAGAAACGAAATCGAAACATATTTTTCGTTGTTGGCTGTAAACACTCTTTTCAGTTACCACAATTAACTGTAAGACACTAAAAGTTCCGAAAAGAGATCTTTATTGACAGTTCGGTTGAGTGACAGATATTTTCTTGAACTTTAATCTCTTAGGCAAAAATTAACTTCAGCAAAAGCCAAGTGACTATTAGTGTCATTTACACAGCACTGCAAAATGAACACAGAGTCAACATCAGGACTGTTAATCTCACAGGATCAAACAAATTAGACAGGTATTGGGCAGACAAAATCATAAACGCAGAAAGACGGGTGCCAGTTCTTAGTTTCTGTTAATACAAGATCAGCTTATCAATAAAATGGCTCAATCGGGCATAAAAGGTGCCAGGACGTGTTCTCTGAGTTCAGTTCCCCAGTGAGTCAATTGGTCCTATAACAACACAAGAGAAAAACAGCTCAGTAAGAACACTACCCTCCTTCCCTCCCTCAATCACACCATTCCCTGCTAGCCTAGATTACGAGTAGTTCCTCTTTCGCTAAGTTCGTCGTGTGTGTCGCGCGAAATCCAGGGGCGCGCGGCCATTTTTTTCTCGCGGTTTTCTTTCGCGTCACGCACGACGGATTATGCGAAACAGGGACTACTCGTAGTCTACTAATAGCCAATTTCGGTAAACATTACTTGCAAAAAATTTCGGACGTTTAATTTTGGGACACTTTTTATCTGATTTTGGACAAAAATATCGGATTCTAATGAAACAAAGCTTAAAGCAAATTTATACCTACAAAAATCCAATTAGACACAAGCAACATCTGTAAAAATTATAGTTTGCTGTGTTTGAGGAACTTGTCTTAGTTTGTTTAATAACTGTGGGTTGACATATCAACAGGTTTCTAGCCATTGGGCAGACGCCCACAGTTAAAAGCAGATGTACATGTGCATTGCCGCATTGAAAGTAGTTTTTTGAGCCAAGTCATACGAGCCAGGTGGCCCATCAGGACGGAGCTTATCCCAGTTTCCGTGGCATGAAGCAACTAAGAGTATTTCTACTCCCCCTGGATGCGATGCTAGTTAGCATATCTGGAAATCTTCAAATAGCTGATGTCAAAACTGAAGAATTTTTAGGAGGGCGGTGCTCTCACGCCCTTTAGAAAGGTTTGGGTGCCCACTTTTCAATTCCTGGCTAAAAGCCTGCATATTTGCACACACACAGCAAATTCAAAGCCTAGTATGTGCCTATCCTTTCTGCCAAAGAAATGAAAATACAGATTTCTCTCCTCACTTGTGGTATATGAAGACAGATACTTGATATCTTGAACACTGCAACTTTACTCTTTTCAGCCTGAAAATAATAATCAGTAAACAACAGTTATGGTACTCCTCATACATATAAACTATATTTTTGTGTATGAGCCTACACACCATATTTATATACAGCAACTCAATGTTTTGAGCTTCTTGGGTCTAGAAAAAATTTATGACTACAGTCGAACGTCCCGTAAGTGACCAACCAAAATGTCAAGCCAAGGTGGTTGCTTAGAGGAGATGGTTGCTTGCGAGAGCTTACACCATATTGAGTCAAAATTTTGCCTCATTATCATATGACAACTGTAGAGACTTGTGCCATGTGCCAATGCCCATCTAAAAACTTTTAGTAGCCACAAAAATATTTAAGCTTTCCAAATTATTTATTCAGAGTATCATGGTTTGCTTCTGATAAACTACAATGCCTTATTATCCAATTTCCGCTCTATTATCTGGCAAGTGGTCATTTTCGGGAGGTAAAAAAAACAAAAGAAAAATTCAAACTTTTAGCTCTAAAAGTGGTCATGGTCGTTAATGAGAGGTGGTCGCTTACAAGATGTTCCAAATACATCTATAGTGGTTTGACTTGGAAACTTTTGGTACTTTGGAAAAATGGTCGCTGAGGAGAGGGGTTCACTTACGAGAGGTGGTCGCAACTGGAGGTTGGAGTGTATTACCTAAATTTTAACAACATAACAAATAAATTTATTTCCAACCTCTTAACTTGTGTATCCATTTTTCTATAAAGCAGAGAAGGGACTACCCTGAAAATTTACCTATAGATTTTTACTTTTAATAAAGGTGCCTATCTATCTATACTGATATGTGAAGCAAACATTTGAGATCAAGAATAGAGCTGTTTTTATAGGAAAAAAAACGAAAGACAAACTGTTTCAGTTAAAATATAACTTGGAAGAGTTCCAATAAAGCTTTTACCTGTAACTGATGTTTGTTGACAAAGAAGAACAGTGATTGTGAAGGATTGTTGATGATCAAACCAGTGTGCTCTTTTCTACTTAGAAGTCTCAGCAATTGCTTCTCATAGTCACAAGGTTCAAATTCAAACTTGCCCTGAATGGAGAAAGGCAACTGTCAGTTTCTTTGAAATGCAGCAAGGAAACATATATTAACACAATGTATAATGTATTTACCAGGTCTGAAAATGACCATGTAAATACTAGGTCTCATGTTACATGGTATGGTATGCCATTGTCTTGATAATAATAATAACAATAACAAATTAATATTTTAAGAGGAGGCCTCCAATCACCTAGAGGTGGTTTTCAGGAGGGTGCTCTAAAATATACATTAAATGTCTAAAATACAGAAGTAATAAAAGCTAAAACCTTAAAACTAAAACTAAGGTTTAAAACTAGAACTAGGATCAACTTATGTAGCCATCCATGTCACTGTAAAGGCTCTTTGTTCATATCTGTTCAGTCTAGCTTTGTGAGTTGCCAGAAGTTGTTGACAAGAAGATCATCAGACCAGTGAAGAGTACTACACTAGATGAACAGAAATGTTCCTGAAGTTTTGGCCGAGTCATGAGACAGATCATTGACTTTTTTTCTTATACTAACAACTTACTAACAGAGAGTAATGTCTTTATGGGAAAATCTCAAACCGAGATTTTGCCTTATTGACCGAGTGATAGCGAGGCCAATATGGCAAGGCCAAGGTTTGATGTTTAACCATAAAGACCGAACAATCAGGGTTAATAAGCTTTTTATTATATGACTTTTTGCCTTGCTTTTGCAAGCCCATAATTGGCCCATGGGCATTACGAGCAAATAATGCCCTAGAATAAGCCAATTAAAGCGAGCATTATATCGGCTACAAACACAAGCCATATAATAAAGCTAATTAATAAAACTATTGAAATATGTTTAGAGGCAAGTCACCTGAATGAGTCTA